CCCCAATGATACCAAAAATAAAATTACTCTCAAAACAAACAAAGAAACAAAAAAATCTAAGCAATTGTTATAAATGAAGGTGTCTATTTGTATTGCAAAACATTTTAGCTATAATATAGCTTTTTAGAAGCCTAGTTTCAGTGTCAGAGCCTAATCTAAAAAAAGTGAGGAGTTCAGAGGACTGCTCAGACAGAACATGTCTGGAAAGTGCAATACAAATGCATGATTGTGCTGGTATGGTTGAACCACGTCTAGTAATAAAACACACATGAATATAATTTTATTCTACAAAAAATGATATTTTAATAATTTTACAGGTAAATTAAAAGATACATGACCAAGAAAGCAGGATAAGGCTCAAACTGGAATATTTTTTAAAGGCATAGAGCAAGTTGAATTTTATATATAATTTATTCCAAATGAAAGCTCAAGTGTCACACAGCAAGGAGAATCTGCATCTAAGATAAAGGTGCTTTTTTTTTGCTAAGAGCTGGGTAATCTTTCTGTTTGTACTGCTTTTGGTTGGAGCAGTGTTACTTAATAGTAGCTGGTATGGAGCTCTGTTTTGGATTTGTGTTGGAAATGGTGTTGATAACACAGGTATGTTTTAGCCATTTCTGAGCAGCCCTTGCACAGAGCCCCAGAGGCTTTTTTTTGCTCCTCACAGCCCCCATCAGTGGGGAGGCTGGGGGTGCAGAAGCAGCTGAGAGGAGACAAAGCCAGGACAGCTGACCCCAACTGACCAGAGGGACATTCCCTACAACATGGCACTCAGCATATAAATCTAGGTGAAGGAGGGAAAAAGGAGGATGTTTAGAGTAGTGTCTTTGTCTCCCGATGTCACCAAGACTCAGGACAAGCAGGTGTTCTATGCAGCCACTTCCAAGAAAGCCAAGCTCCATCACATGTCTGGCGACTCACTGCAGAATAGATTCAAATGGTCTTTTTGTACTAATTTCTACCATAATCCATGAGCTGAGAATAGAGTTTATACTTTTGTCAAAGCCTGTCACAAAGCAATTTATGGCAAGAGGTGAACTAGGCTGAGTAATGGGAGCATCAAATTTAGATGCAATTAGCTCAACAGGGAACCCATTCCACTGGGACTGCTGGCAAGAGGTGTCGCTGGCAAGCTAACAGACAAAAGTGGGGTCAGGGTAATTACACTGACAGTAAGTGGGGACTTGATTAGTCTTGCCAATGTTTAAATAATTCACCAAACTCAGTGACAGGAATCACCCACCAAAGTGGGGATTATGATGGAAAAGGAATTACCTACTTTTGGTGATAATTACAACATAAAAACCTCCTCACGTTTTAACTTGGCTAGGTCTTCAAATATTTTAAAAGCTGCACTGCTAGACAAGTGAGAGACAATTTGGCAAGAGCCAAGTACAAAAACAATCTGAAAAAATTCTAATTCTCAGTAATCTTTAATAGAATTAAGATATAATTTTGGGAATTATTAATAAGAAAGTGTTTATATTACAATTAAGAAGCTTGGTATATTTCCCAGGACAAGGACTGCAGGTACAGGTAATTTTAAGAGCAGCTACTATAGTTGAAAAGCCAACAATTAAGCTAAAAAATCAAAAACACACAAAGACAAAAAGTAGAAACTGATGGAATATATATTAATATTGATAAACTGGAGAATACTCCAAGATCATCTCACAACACTGCAGAACCAGAAAGACATGACAAGACAAAGCCTATTCCCTTTAACAGTATTGCCTGCAATGTCAAGAGTGTCTGAAGGAAGAAATCACAGATTCCTTCAGATATGGACATCTGCTTTCTCTGGCACATTGCAATCCACTGTTGTCCATCCAGCTCTTTCTAACCAAATAAAAAGCAGGATGCACTCAAAAACAAAGAAGAAAAATAAAATCGTAACATATCCTCACTTCTATGACAGTGAATTATTTGTGAGAAATTCATCTCAGGTGTTATGCCAAGAAGATCAAATGGACTATAGGATACTACTTTAATTTCAATTCGTAATAATCTGATGTGAAATGCTTAAGCCTACAAATGGAGAAGACAATATTAGGACTCAATAGACAGAAAGTTAGAATTTGAAGATCATGAAACATTAATTAGTTTGCCTCAAGATTTTCTTTAAGAACTTTTTTTGAGTAATATTTAAACATCTTCTTCAGTTTTGCATAACACTGTTAAAACAGTTACCTATGGCCAATTCATAAGGAAATTACATTACTCTTTACAAACCAGCCACAGTTCATACTCTCGCCAGTCAAAATTCCTTCCCCTTGCACAACTGCATAATCCCGGAGGCATCACATCTCTTTCCTAGAGACCCGCTGGTCTGCTGCCTCTCCCAACACCCACAAAGCAAGAGGCCTCTTGTCATCTTCTGTCCTGGGTCAATTCTCCTCATAAAGAAGAACATCACGGCACGGTCCATTCAAATCCACATAGTTATTCTACTTGCTTAACTCAGTTTGACATTTTTCCCTTAGGAGCAGCTTAATCTTAACAGTATAAAGCAAGCATGATTGGTGATAAGTGTTTTCAGAGCTCATATACATCTACTTCAAACCTTTGTATTGCTCTCTGTGCTTATTCTAAATTCTGAAATCTGGGCTCCACAAGACCAAAAACCTACCCTCACCTCTGAAAGGAGGAGGACACCTCTTTTGGCTAGGCATTAATTCTCTCCTGCATCTCCTGACTTGTGAAATATTTGGACGGCTCATTAATGAATTCAGACACCAGGCCTAAAGGTATTGGTTATTTCTAAACCATTTCAATCACTCAAGGAAGCTGTAATGTCATTATCACTGTCTTCTCCTCAGTTAACTTTTTCATGGGCTGGTAGATAAGTCATGTTCATCTCAGAGGTGCTTTCCATGTCTCTTTTCTAATATCTTTCCATAACAGCAGCATCTCCTGTTGGTGTGGACTACTCTTACGATGAACATCTCCACCAGAGAGAGCCCACCCCCAAGGGAATAGTTTTTGTAAAGGACCCTCTCCAGACAGACACACAGAACAGATTAAGTGAAGCACACATTAATTACACCTCATGCTTCATTTTATCCTATTTGGCTTTTTCTTCACTAATAACCTTTCCTTCACTGATCATTTGGTTTATCTTTATCAAAAAAGAAAGTAACCTGACACAACTGATGAGCAAGCCTGCAGGTGGGGACAGAGGAGATGGAAAGATGCATCATTCCTGTACTGTACTTAAAGCAGGTTTGCTCTTCCATTTTTCATATGCTGTAAGTGCTCCATATTGTCTAAATACAAACTACCTGAAGGTGAACACCTGAAGAAAAAACAAAAACTCCTTCCTTCCTGTGCTACCCTTCAAGCTACTCACAGATGGTAGAAACTGCCCACTGAACAAACAGCTCTCACTAATCTCTTTGGCCTAGACATTACAAAGTGCCCCTGCAAAAACCAGCTTAAGCATACTTCAAGCTTCCTTGTCCCCTTTCCTTGTTTTTCATATTAACTCCTTCTTTGCCCTTTCCCTCATGCTGCTCTCGGAAAAAATCGTGTTCTGGCTTTCCATTGACTCCCACAAAGAAAGCCCTGGGAACCCACTCCTCTTTGCTGATTTGTTCCATTCCCTGGTCTGGACTGTCACTTTACTCTGAGACTTCCAGCAAAGGTGCTCATCTTAAGAAATTACATGCTTGTAAATGCCTGCAAAGAATACCTGAACTTGCTTTTGTTAACATGGTTGAGTGGACCCCTTAAAAATAAACTTCATCCCTTAAGGTCTGTAACCCAAGACAGAGGTGTCACATAAGCATCTAGCAAAGGCAGATTCATCATGACTTCCTACACGAGACGGAAAATGGTCCTTCCTTTGATTAAAAAAAAGTCAGGGGCCAGAAAACTATTTCTGAATTTAGGACAGATTCAAATTCATAGTTAGAGGAAGGGGGAGAGGAAGAGTGCTCTGTGCAAGGTGAAACAAAGAGAATTGCAAGAAATAAATGGAACCCAAATAAAATGTTTGATTTTTTAGGTCAAACTGAACTCCAACAGAATGGGTGTGGGGGTGGGCTATTTTGCTAAAGACAGAACATTTCTACTATTAAATTTTTTCTTATTTTTTTACTCTTTGCCCACTGACAAATAAAAGCATTATTCTCACGTTTCTCATACTAGAATTCTATCTAAAATGTTTTTAACATGGTCCCAAGTTTTTCAAAAGCCTCCACTAAGAGACAAACACTTGAAATAGAATTCTATCTAAAATGCTAACGCTGTTTTTAACATGGTCCCAAGTTTTTCAAAAGCCTCCACTAAGAGACAAACACTTGAAGAACAATATTTGCTATTTTAAAAAAAGACCATTCTCACTCCATCACTCAACTTCTGCAAATGCTGCAAAGCAGTATGAAAATCAAAATTATTTAATTAAAATACTTATGAATAGCTACAATTCTTTTTTCAGATATACAAACAACAGATCACACGAAAGAGTGTGGAAACCATAGTAATAAATACAGGATTTATATGGATCACTCTAAAAAGAACTTTTGAAAAAAGCAATTTTTTTTGATCAGCTCCTCATTGGAGGAGCAAATTATCATTAGAGATGTAATGCAAGGTAAAAGGCTCTGCTGCTAGAACCCACAGCTCAATCACTGATACAGACATAGCACTAAAAGTTTGTAAAGAATGCAATGGGTATGGGAAGCAAACAAGATGAGGTTGATAGAACAGTCCCACTTTGTTTACAATTTCATTTATAATAGCTACATTTGACTTTGGCTATTCCCAAAAATAAATAAAGCCAAGTGCATAGTTCTGATTTTCATTTTCACTTTTTCTTTCCTACATTCTTATAAAGCTCTCAGTACTTCAGCAGAAAGCAAAAAAATTTTCCTGCTTTGACTTCTCTAGAAAAGGTTAGCACATTTTTTCACCACTTCATATGTATTTTTCACAGCTACAGTTTCACAGTTTCCACCAATGAAAACTTTCAATGTTTCTAAAAATAAGGGCTTACTTACTGAGCATTTGACATACAATCACAATTTGATAGCTGATGTCTAAAATTTCCTTCCTTCTGACAGCCAGCTTTTAAGTAGCAGGACCTGATTTCCCCTTTAGAAAATACAGAGGGAAAAAATGTCGGTTCAGTGATGCAATCATTTGTGTACACAAAAAAATTATAAAATACACATTCTAAATCAGGCATATTTATAAACATATATTTTTCAGTCTGTGCATTAGGCTCATTTTAGATTTCAGAAAGCAAAATCGCATTTGAACAACTGAAAATCTGAGAAAAATCAAAACACAGAAGTCACAGTAAAAATTTCAAAGGCACGTAAATTAAACAGAAAGCACATTGATTAATGTAAGTTCACCACGAAAGGTGAAATCAGATTTCCCTCTTTCCATTCACAAAGGTGACATCAGGAGGTAGAAAGCAGCAAAAAGTTCTGCTAGAAGTGCAGCCACAGTTCCTCCCTGTTTGCAGAGGAGCACAAAGCCAAGGGTGGGTGCTGGCTGACCCAGAGGCTGCGTCACCTGCTCCCCTGGCACTGCTGCCCTTCTGGCCACAGCACAACCACACCTGCAGGCTGCCAGCAGGGCCAGGAGGAACAGGCAGAAAACCAAATTATCTCCAGGGTCACAGATCCAGTACCATTAGCACTCACTCCATGCTGGTTTTGAAGACCACTTTAAAGGAAATAGGGCTTTTGGGACAGCTATCTTTCAGAAGTATGAGCCAGTTCCTCACAGGGCACTACGCAGAGCTCAAACCCATCCTACAGCTTCAGACTCCAAGAATAGCTTCAGAGCAGTGGCATACCAACTATATGCATGGGGCAAGACCAGGTCACTCATTAATTTTCTTGAAAAGAGTAGCAGATCACAACTCCAAATACAACAACCACCATCACACCAAGAGGTCAGTCTGAGCCAGCTGAAGAACAAAACTGTAAAAATTAGTCATATTTTGCCCAGCCAGGTCAGTGCAAAACTTCTAGTCAGGGAGAAAACACCAGGGGTTCTTCTGATGGGACAGAAGTTGTCTTCTGGGCTAGGCAGCATCATCTTTTGAGGGTGATGTTTGGAAGATAAACTTCAGGCACTGTGTAATGCTCAGGTCTGTGATGGTCATTGGTGGATCTGGTTGGAAAACCCTATTGCTCATCTGACTTGAAATTACCATGCCCTTTTTTCTTCCACACACACAGAAAAACATGCAACCGGTAACAGACAAGAGAAATATCCTTCCAGGACATCCTAAGTGTTCAGAAATTTCCTCACGCATTACAATTATCCCAACTAGATAAACTCACCGTTTTCATCTATGAACACATGCATGGCATCCACGGAGAGCTCATCTTGCACAGACGCCTCAGGTCCACTTATTACTTGCAAGACAGAACTGTCTTGCTGAGAAGTTACCCGGTAGATTATCTGCCTTTGCCTGCTGCCCTGGTAACTTGACACAAAAATGTTTCAAAACTACTATGAGGAACTTTTTTCTTGTTCTCAATAAAACAAAAAGAAAGAGAGGTTAATTAAAAGTTTATGTCATTTCTACTCAGTGAAACAAAACAGCTTACATCATATCTTTGAAGTACAAAATTGTAAAGTAAACTGGCCTTACAGTGCTGCAAATTTGGCAGACTCTGGTAGCACCGGACTAGTACTAGCACGATCTTGGCTTTGTACATCTGATCTTTCCTGTTTAGGAAGTTGCTCACAGTGCTTTTCTGTTCCCACCAATTCTTCTTTTCTCTCCGTCGTCTGGCTATCTGGAAAACAGGGCAGTGAAGTGGAGCCACTCTCCACAGATGACTTTCAAGACTTTCATTCGTTAACTACTGAACAAGAGCACCTAAAAATGAAAATCTAAAACACTGCAGTATTTTCTAGTTTATGAAAAGCACTACCATTAATTAAAACAATACAACCACAAATCTGAATGAGGAGGTACTCTGACCCTTATGAATGGGCTGTTTCAAGAGAACACTGTATGAAGTAGAGAACAAACAAGAGAGAATTTCTGCTTTGCTTCTCCTATTGTTTCAGAGGGAAGCAATTTGTTCCTAATCTAGACTGGTGAGAGGCTGGTTCCCTGGAGGCTGTAATTTGCTCCCAAACTGTGTATGTGGCAGTGGAAAAGCAGAAGCACTGGCCCATTCCCCTTTTACAGAAGGGAAAGCAACACCTACAAAGGAAATAGAGCTCTTGGACAGGAAAGCAAATAGCTGCCTAATCTCTCTTCCCCACTGGCTACACATCTGATGCAGGACAAAGGACAAACTGGCAAAACAATTTCACAGCAGATTATCCTATGCTTGGAAAATACAGAACTATAGATTTAAAAATGCACATGAAGTTTTTGTCCAATTTCTACTACTTTGAGTACAATTATATTTGTATTGCCTCTCTACACTATTTATATTGCCTCTTTACACATGCATGTAATTTTTTTCATGCATATATGTGTACAACATTATTCACAACATTGTGAAAAATGAAACATTTTTCAACTGTCCTTCGTTTATAAATCAAAACAATTACCTATTAGGGTTTTAAAGTGCAACTAAGACAATGATTTCATCAGTACCCTGTGCAGTTGTGCAATTAAATGTTTTAAATTGAAAAATCAGGTGCTCATTGGAGATGCCTCAGTAAATCCCGTAGCTTTTTGCACCAAGCAAAATGTATTGAAACATACTTACCCAGACCTCTTGCAATACCTGCTATTTAAACACCTCAGATCAAGGGAAAAAACACAGAAATTTCACCCCACTGAAAATTCCACATCTTAAGCCATATTTCTCATCAATATAATTACCATCCTAACCTGTAAGAATCACCAGTCAAGAAACACTGGTATCATATCTAAATTGGTGTAAGGATTAAAGAGAACGAAGGCTTATAAAGAGATGTTTTTCCATCTATAAGGTTAGCTGATAAAACTGAAAAAAGTTTTTGCATATGCAGACCTTTTAGATCATCTATGTTATTTTCCTCGAACTGTATCAGCTGATCTACCAACACATTATTTCTATAAACAAACGTACCTTCCTGAGCTAAAACATCTCTACAGCAGTTTCAATTCACAGGGCATCCTTCACACCCTAAAGCTTGTTCTATAAATACAATGAAGCAAGCACATGTTTGGTATAGAAGACACTTTTTTTGTGCATGGAGGCAAAATTCAATAGGTCTTCCAGATCTATTTTATTCTATCTTGGGGAAAAAAAAAAAAAAAAAAAAAAGCAGTTAAGGGAAGAGACAATTTTTCCCTCTCCTAGTTAAAGATTTAAACTCCAGTTTAAGCAGAAACTCTGTCATTATTGCAGCACCCCCTTAATGATGTAACCATACCTGTGGGCGGTGATGGAGCCACAGATACCTAATCAAAATGACCTTCCTAAAGGCTTGGGCTGTTCAAGCTGTAAGAATAATTGATAGAGATCAGAAACTGCAGTTTAAATAAACTAATTGGTCCCATAGTGCCCCAAACCAGCTTTAGGGCTGGAACAATTAAAAAGATTTTTTCAAATCTGATTATCTAGTGGTTTCAGAATAGGCTTCTCTCCTTTCCATTCCAAACCACAAGCCTTGCAGTCTTCTTTTTCCTGCTGTGGCAAAGAGTCATAATAAAAACCTAAACATACTACTTCTTATAGGCCTTATATGCCAATCGGACAATACCATGGTGATGAGTACTTCCAGCACTGCAAAAGTGGGTCACAATGGCTTTGTGACTGGTTTTCAAGATTACAGCTCTTCTTCCAGGTGACTTACACCTTCAGTATTTAAATGAAGATAGAAGTGTCTAGACTAGGAGTGTCCTGCCAGAGTACGCAATCGGCTCTACGTCACCAAACACTCCCTGCACGCAAATTGTGCTGGCAAAGCTCAAACACCAGGACAAACCTTTCCCAAGTGCAAGAGCAGACTAAAGAGGACAACATGGCAGTGTACTTGCACTTTTCCCTGTGCCTTTTACCCTTATCCACTACTCCACATGTCTCCAGCTCATGCACAGCTGGGCTCACAGTAGTATCAAGATCAGACCTAGGCTCTGCAACAATCACATAATTTATCTGGAAATTATATGCCACATGAGTCAGACATGTGAGGTGTAGCTATCAGGACTCACAGCTAAATCAGTCTTGGGGCAGGGTGATTCAGACGAATCCTGCATAAACAGGCAAGTTTTGGTCTGTACACCACTTTCATATTTTGACAGAGCACAAGATACAAGCTTAAGTTACCGTGGTAAAATACTTATGAAAAGGAACAATTCTTACAGGTCCTATACATAAGATATTTTCAGTAAACATTTTTTCTGCACTAACAACTTTCAACAGCCTATCAACATTACTTACAAGTATACCATCCCAGTGCTGACAAATGAAATGGTTACAGTACCGTACTTTCTTTTGCCATGTAAGTTTTTCACTTGCAGAACAGATTTTAAGCATCCCAGATCATCTTTATAGACAAACCCTTGTTCTACTCTAGAAGGAGGCTGTGAAAAATTTTACAGCTGAAATGAAACAGCCTTTGTACATATATTAATACAGCGAGTCCAAAGGAGAGCCACCAAGATGATCAGAGTGATGGAACCTCTCTCCTGCAAGGAAAGGGTGGGAGAGTTGGCTGAGATTTCAGCCTAGACAAAGCTCCAGGCAGACCTAATTGCAGCCTTTCAGTACCTGAAGAGAGACCACCAGAAATCTGAAGAGGGACTTTTTATAAGAGTGTGTAATGATAGAACAAGGAGGAATGTCTTTCAACTGGAAGAGGGCAGGTTTAGCTTGGATATTTGAATGGAATTCTTCACTGTGAAGGTGGTGAGGAACTGGTACAGCTTGCCCTGAGAAGTTATAGATGCCTCATTCCTGGAAGTGTTCAAGGCCAGGTTGGATGGGGCTCTGAGCAACCTGGTCTAGTGAAAGGCATCCCTGCCCAAGGAGAGGGGTGGGGAGGTGTTTGAACTAGATGATATTTATTAAAGTCCCTTCCAATCTAATCCATTCTTTAATTCTGTAATCACAACAACCAACTATCAGTGTATCTCAACCTTAAAGTTACCTTATTATTAGGTAATTAGAATTAAATTTTATTACTCCTTAACTTTCCTCCAAAACATTTTTACTATTTGTGGCCCCTTACTGGAGTCTTCCAAACCTTCTTCCTCATCTTTTACTTACATATCCCTACACCAACCTTCATAGCTGACTCCTGTAAAACAAAATGCCACTACTGTCATAATTTCAAACACCATCTGGTTTGAAAACTGGGCAAGCCAAATTAAGCTAATTAAGCCTGTCTCTCTTCTGTTCATTAATTGCTTTGCTACAGAATCACTTTCTTCAACAACATGATGCTCCAAAATAGAAATTTTCACTTTAAAATATATTTGCTGCCTGTTCAGCCACAAAGAAATTATTCCAAATCGCTCTACGCTTTTGTTAGTACCAGCTTGACACCAAAGTTCTACAAGCTGTGAACTGTGCCATTCATATATGTGGATTATAAAGAACATCCCTAATCCTTTCTTCACCAACTGCTTTAGCAGAAACATCTAGCTTATGCACTTTCTTCTCAACCCAAATTTGCCTATTATGCCACAAATACATTAAAAGAAAAAACTGACATTTAAGCTGGTCATCCACCAAAAAACAGGAGTGCCCAGGGAATAGCACACAGTCCAATAACTGCCACAAGAGGTCAGCATGGACACTGAAGCAGCACATGGCATTTTCCATTAACAAGGATTGCCACGTTAATCCTGAAGCAACAGGAAAAACTAGCAATAGGCATTGTATCTGCTACAGGAAGTGACTTGCTTGAAACAATCTCCTGTGTCAGCAGCAGAGCTAGGAATTAGTAGCCTAATCACAATACCTACTAATTACATCAGAATACAAACCTCTGAAATAACCTTTTTTTTTTTTGCCTCTCTTATACATGTCATCATACATACTACTACCTCTTCAACATAAAGAGTGAAATTTTAAAATTTTAGCCTGCCAAGCCTTACACACTGTGCGTGAGATTCAGAGAATTGAGTTCTGCACACCAGTTCCTCCACACCCAAAGAGGTGCACCACATGCCATGTGGCCCTTCTCTGGCACGAGAATCAGGGGTGATACACAGCTGCTCCAAAAAGATGAGCTAGCACCAGGCAGGGCTTTATTTCCTAGGTGCCACCCACCTGCCAACAAGATCACCTGCTGTCACTTCCCACCACGACTGTCAACTGCACTGGTGACTCAATGCACAAGATTCCTCTTCCCCCTGACTACATGGCATATGATAGTCCTCTTTCCCACATGCAAGGGAAAAAAAAAAAAAGAGAGAGAGAGAGAGTCTAAAAATACCCACACTCGTATGTTTTAGGTTTTTTTATAGGAGAAGGGTAATTGCTTGGGATCCAGAACAACTCACTCGAGGTTGTGGTTTGTGCACTGCCCAGAATGATGAGTACCTTTTCTAAAAAGAGCCTGCAAAACATCTAAATTGGGGCCATACAGCCCTAGTTTAGTTTCTCCTGCGCCAGTCCCCACCACTCCCATGGCAGGCTTTGCTCCCTCAGTGATAATACTGCCTGTCCTAGATTACAAGCCAGCTGTGCCAAAGGGACCTACAGGAGGTTTTGCCCTGCATAATTCTGATGCACAACTGCTCTTACTTGGTTCAAGACACATCAGAGGGACCCAAAGCAGCCAATAAACCCAGGTTTTCTTACACTTCTCAAAGACTGAAAAAATTTGCTCTTGCACTTTCATCATGTGGGTGGTATAAGTGTGATTCAAAACTGAAAGGACTCTGGTCTGAAAGTCAGTTTTAGCAACAGTGTCAGTGGAATTTTCTCACAATCTAGAAGAGGTGGAGTGGCTATAGAACAGCTCTTAGAGATTTTATATCCTGTATTTTAACAGGTTAAATCTGGCATCCTTAGAAGAGTAAAGAAAGGCTTTAATTTTCTCATACTGCATTGTACCAAGCTGTCTACTGGCATAGGCTTATGTGTTCAGGATGATAACTCTTGTACTTTCACAGAACACACAAGTTCTGTGACGGACCACCCATAACAAAGATTCTTCCATGACATTCACTAACTTCCCAGACAGTTCTGATGAGCACATTTCCCCACCTTCCACAAATTATTCTAAATATCAGCTTTCTTTCACACAGTTCTGAATATCCAGCTTTCCAGGAATTTGCCAAGTTTTTCACATTGTCTAATAAAAATCTTTCTGGGTGCATTTCATGCTCATTTGGACCAGACACCAATTGTTAACTTTTGCCAATTAGACAGTGTACAAGGTTAATAGAACAAAAACCAAACAGAACCAACCTCCTCCCTCAAAACAATTGGTGCATAGCTTGACTCTGTATTTCCACACACACAAACTTTTCTTAACAACCACTCTAATGTGGGAATAATGTTTATTCAGATCTGTTCCAAGATACTATATTATTAAAGCACATTTGCAATTGCAAGGCTGTAAACAAATTAAAGGCTTTCTCATTCCTAAAATTCAGTCTTGCAAAGGGGAAGCTGCCAGTAATGACAGTAATTTATTTTAACAAACAGCACGTTCTGACTAGGCTGGAAAATAAAGCCTACTTGCTCTTAAAAATAACTGCCTTTGAACTACCTCTCCCAAGCTCAGAGTTCAGATTGAATCTCCTTTTTCCCACAGCACCAGTTCAAGGTGCAGAATTCACAGGTGCCACCCCTGCTCATGCAGGGCACCCCCTTTCCAGTCCCCTCTTCTGTTTCTGGATGGCTCCTGCTGAGCCCACACTGCAAACAGAGACACTTAATTACACATGTATGCAGCTCAACCTCGCTATCTCACAAAAGTACAGACTTCAGAAAATAGAAATAGGAAGATTTAGAATACATATTAGGAAGAAATTCTTTACTGTGAGGGTGGTGAGACACTAAAACAGGTTGCCCAGACCAGCTGTGAATGTCCTGTACCTAGAAGTGTTCAAGGCCAGGTTGGATGGGGCTTTCAGCATCCTGGCCTAGTGGAAGGTGTCACTGTCCATGGCAAGGGTTTGGAACTAGATGATGTTTAAAGTTTCTTCCAAACAAAACCATTCTGGAATTCTTTGAAATTCAGTTCAAATTGCTAAATGAGAGCTTGGTATGAGGGAAGAGCAGAATTCTTCTGTTCCCTCACTACCTTGTATAACAATCTTGTTCACCGGATCTAAAGCAAAATAACTACACACATAATAATAAGTTTTGGGGTTTGGGTTTTGTTTTCACTGTGGAATCAGAGTCTGATTTATTCTGATCATTCATTGCTTTCTTTCATGCAGCAACTTTGCCTGTTCATATTATCTGAGAGCACTTGTCTGAAAGGCCTTTTTAGATTAACTGCACTTTCTCTTTTTTAATTTTCATTTAGATTTACCTCTAAAATTCTCCTTTCAAGCAAAGTCACATCACTCAGAAGTACAATTATTGGGCAAACACTCCTTTTTATGGCTGAGGATCAGGAAAAAAAAAAAAATCACAATCTGCTTGCTGCACCCCTCACGCTGCTGTGTGCTATTGTGCAGGTAGGTGACTCTGCACCCCAGGAATCCAGCAGGGCTCAGCAGGCTCAGGTGAGAAGCAGGGCTTGCTCAGCACTTGTCTTGGGCAACCAGAGCACAGACTGGAGTCAGCAGGGCAGGCTGATAAACTTGATAGAGAAGGACAGAAACTGCAATGAAGAATAAACAGCCTGAGAAGGCAGGAGAGATGGGAAAGATACACCAGAAGAGAGGCGGCAGGTCTAGGAAAAGTAAAATTCACTTCTCCTGCACTTACCCTTCTTTCAATTCCTCAGAATTCATCAGAAGGAACTGAGAGGAGGCTAAGTGCAGGAGAAGTGAATGTATAGCTGTGGGGAGGCAACAGCTTTAGGTGGGCTCAACAGAGTGGAAAAGCCTAAACCAGCAACAGTCTGTATTGCTAGGAGGAACAGAAGAAAAGAAGAGAGTGTACCAATACGAAGAAGAAGACAAATAGGGAGGTGGCACATGAGGGGAGTGCCTAGACTGAGAAGGGATGACTGAGGAAGGAAAGGCACAGAACTAGAAAAAGTGGAAGAAAAAATGGACCCAGTTGAAAGATGGAAGGAGATGGGGGTGTAATACATTGGATAGGACAGACTTAGAGAAAGACAGAGTGAAAGATAAATGGAATCTAAAAAAAATGACACATTGAGAAGATAAATCTACTTTTTTTTTAACAAGTAAAAGCACGCATTTCACAATAGTTTTTAGAAACCTTTTAAGTCAGTTGGGCATTTTACATGTAATGGAAGTTTCTTCCAGGAGCAAGATGGTACAAGAGGAGGGAGCCGACAAATAGCAGCACCAAGCTGTTCTTCCAGGGTACCATGAAGTTTCTTACCTTCCATGCAAACTAAGTATTGAGACTGTATCCTCTTAGGCTTTCTTAAAAGAGCTTCTTATAGCATCTAAGGCAAACCAAACATTTTGGAGAAGGGAAAGATACAGGTTGCCTTATTTCACTTTGACTCAGATCTTCTAAACTGATTGCACTGATCACCTGGGGAAGTACCCCGAGACTGCATCTGCCTTCACAACACTGTATCTCACATCATCATTACATGGCCCTACTAATTTTGCTGGAGGGCTGCTAGACACACTACAAACAACAGTCCTTCCCAACAGAAAACGGTCACAGAGTCCAGTGACAGCAATGACAATGCTGATCAAAACTAGAAATTTCTATACAAGAGTCATAAATTTTACTGCATTTAGGTTTTTTAATTAGCTGACTGATTTTGTTTTAAATAAAAGCCCTCTTGATTAAATGGAAACTTGCATGGGAATATGCTATTTTTCATTAAAACACTGGAGGCTTTCACTGAAAACAGCCACCAAACTTTCATCCTTAAAATGCAAATATTTTAACTTTAAGTGACTGAAAATCAAAACTCTTCTCTGTTGAGAACTCTTACCTTTTTTTTTTAATTATAATCCAACCCACAACCATTCAGGAAATTTAGAAATATATGTACATGTGCACAAATGTGTTAGCTGAAAGTTCAACCATCTCCAGTGACAATTCCAGCTTTCATACTTAAAGGCACACAGACAGCTCCTCAACATGCACCTGGTAAGATGTGCAAGGGCGGGTGTAATGTACAGCTATGGACACTTTTGCATACTTCTGGTGCTCCAACAATCCAGGCACACTATTTTAGTACAGAATACTAAACACATAATGGATACCTGCTAAGCTTATCACTAGTTTCCTAGAGAAAGAAAAACAGTTTTCTTCAAGAACATAAAAATATTTTAAAACTGCAGCTGACACTATCACACACTTTCAGTAAAATCACCTTGTCCCACCAAGTCCAGCCTTATCTTGGCCCTATTAGCAAAACCAGTCTTCATCTGGGAATTTGCCTTACTGCAGATATCCAGCTAAGCTGTTCTAAGTAATCAAACTCTTCACAACATCTTTATTCCAAAAGAATTGTAATCCATGCATAATACCTCCAACAAGCCCATTTTCCTTTGTTGTCTCCATTTTGACAGTGGAGTGATTAGATGTCTTCATCTTTGAGGTATTAATGGATTCCAAGAGGGAGACAAATTCTAGAAAGTTAGATTCGTTGGGCATCTGACCTTCTTTAGCTTCTAGATCTGATTTAGAGGTTGGTAAGGTCTTTTCTTTGTCAGATACCTCCACAAAATTCTTACTTAAAAGCACGTCTGTCCCACTGTCTACACTCAACACACGCATGTGCCTCTTTTCATGAGCAGTTCTGCAGGACTGCGGGTCTAGGTTATGCAAGTCTTCCTTAGAACTTAAATCCACAGTCTGGACATTTTCCAAAGCATTTTCCTGATTTGGATCTGAACAAGTGTTAGTTTCTAGAGGTGTATTAGCTGGGTTGCTGAGCTCCTTTACGGCATCACCTGACTCATAGCCAGAGCATTGGTTGGATGACAGCTCTGCCCTCAACATTTCTGGAGTTCTGTCACTTTCACTAACTTCTGAGCAAGGCTTGGCTTTACTGTCATCAGACAAGTCAAATGTGATAACAGGGATTCTGAGCTGTTCATTAGTTTGCTGACTTGACCAGCCTGCTCTAACTACACCAGAGTCAAGGGCTGAGCTTGTTCTCTCACTTTCCAGGGCCTGTAAGTGGACAGAGCCAGGTAGGTCACTAAGGGTGGTGTTTGGTGTAGTACTCATTGTGATGACAATTTTAATGGGCTCACACAGCTGGTCTCCAGGAAGAGAATTGTCCACAACTGCAACAGCAGTCTCACTGTCTGAGCAATCAAGGTCCTCATTATCAGCATTGCAAGAGCTTTCCATCTGCTCGTGCTCTTTGGTTGCAATAGCATTGCACTGTGGGCAGTAATTGGGAAAGCCTGTCTGTGGTGATCCATCTGGCAATTTCTCTCTTTTGTAGCTTCTAGGATTACTTAAATGGTCTGAAATAACAGAATTTTCACTGTCCCATGGCTCTGAAGAAACTCCAGTCCTTAAAATATCACCTTGTGATGAAGAAATATTGGAGAAGTTTTTAGCTACGTCTCTCTCCACAAGAATATCTTGGGATCCATGGTGGCCACAAGGCTGTCCATTCAATCCCTTTTCCTTTACTCCATCACCAGGAAATTGTTCCATACCAGCTGGTTTTGTTGCTATTGCTGATGTGATGGCACCTGAACTGGAGGTTGTAGAAACAGGCAATGTATCTGCTTTGATACAGGGTGAGGTAGATGAAACTGGTGGTGTAGCCTGATCTTCTAGTACCATAACACCTAAGGAAAAAACATTTGGGCATTAGGTCTCACATGAACACTAAGCATTATTAAAGCATGATCTTTAACCAACAAAACCTGATCCAGATCAGAGCAAAGGAAGCACAGATGATACAGCTTATTAAAACAGTTCTAAAGCGAGGAGGGCTTTTTTTTGGTGGCTACATATGAAATACTACAAAAGCAAGATAGAACTCTTCCAAGTTAGGACAAGTGTAGCAGCATGTCTATTTAAATAGTCAAAATAGCTGAAGAAACAGCTAGTTTCAAAATCAAAATGTTTTACAGAACTATCCCCACTTAGGGAGAGGTGAAAGAAAGAATAAGCCAATGCTGCAGGTTTGCTACATCACTTTCTGCAATTCCTAAATGGTCACACAGGATATGGTGATCAGCCTTGACAAAAACAAAACAAGATTTAAAATATTAAGACATCTCAAGTGAGATGGAAGCGTAGGCAAAGTAAATGTACTGGAATATACAACACAGAGCTAATGTTGACAATCACAGCAGAAGTTAACAGCCACATGTTCTAGGGCTCTAAGATGCAATCTAAGTGTCAACTTCCTATTTAATGCATTACAGAAGCTCAGAGCTGCCAAAAAGGTGGAGCAAAGCTCTTTCATCTCCCTGTATCAAAACGGGGAGAGCTATTTGCACATCCCTCAAAGGATGCATCCCAAACAGCTTGGCTGATAGTTGAGAAAGCTTAGTCTGTTAGAATACCCTTGAAATTTAGTTCTGGTTCTTCAACTCGGAACCTAATGGGGGCACAACAGAACCTGCCATGGGGTCCTCTGTGCCATTACTTTTTGTGCCAAGCAATGATTAAACAACAGGTTAGGGGATTTATAAAGCCTTTAAAAATACCTCTAAGATCTTCAATAGTTTCCCGTGTTGGCAGGTCCTAAAAAATGAAAAGAAACACACAAGGTTAACATGGTCATTTATTAAATTCTGCTGGGGAAAAAAAAAAAATCTATCAATGTAGCTATCCACAGCTATCTAATTAAAGGTTAATTACAGCATTGGTAAGCTGCTTAAAATCACTGAAATTTGAACATGTACCTTGCACAAAATGCAAGGGGTGGGTGAGGGAGATGGTTATTGAACAGTCATGCTCCAAATTGCATCACTGAAATTGTGTGTGATGTTTGGGGAGGGGAAAGAAAAGCAAAATGTTCTTTAAAAAAATTTGCAGTGCCTAATCCAGGTACACCTTTTTTTAATCATTAAGGAATAGAATGTGTTAATCTGTTCCACTTATCCAGCTATGTGTTTCCAAAGCACTAGAATGAAAAGTTTGGCCTCTAGCACTGGTAAGTATTTCTCAATGGAAAACTAGAGGACAGAGACATTAAATTAATATAGAATCACTTAGATTCCAAGGAAGCTTTGAAGGTCATTTAGTCCAAATCCCCTCTGCCACACACACACACACTGGAAGGAGATACAGTTTGAGCAGGTTGGTCAGGGTCATCTCCAATAGAGCTTTGAAAATCTCCAAAGAAGGAGATTTCACAACTTCTCTGGAAAACCTCTTCCAGTATTTGACCACTCACTTGGTAGGAAAAAACAAAACAAAAAAAAAAACAAAAAAAAAAAAAACACCAACACACAAACCACCAAAAACCAAAACAACCTCACACAAAAGACATTAAACGTAATTCATCTAACTGTATCTTTCCATGGCTGCAACTGTTTCTTATCCTGCCATTGGGCACATCTGAGAAGAGTGTGCTCAAGGTGCTGTGTAACTTACTATCAGAAAACTGAAGACAGCAGTAAACTCTACTTGTATGGTTACAGAAGAGTTTAGCTGTACCAAGGCTGAAACATCCCATCTGCCTGTCCTCACACATCACGTTCCTCAATCACCTTGCTGGCCTCTGCTGGATTCGCATCAGCAGGTCAGTGTGCATGGGAACTAACTGGGGAGCTCAAAACTAAACACAACACCCCAGAGGAAGACTTCAGGAGTTTAAATTCAACAGCCTAAGTGCACAATTAGGAACAAGATACTGAAAAAAATGTCTGGCTCTCTTCTGACTGGCAGGCACCAAAACCAAGAGGAAATTATTACTTTCTAAAATTTCATGGTGGTATCCTGGCAGCAAGAACAGGAGACTTGGTTTGACAAGAACCAACCTACATGTTTGGAAGTAGAAGACTAGGATGAGATCCCAGGAAGGCGTAGGTTTGCAGAATGGACAAATACCAGAATACTGGAGAGTAGGACAGAAACAAGGTGAAAAATATTTTACCTCATTAAAAAATAAAACCAAACAAAAAAAACTATTAATGTCTCTGAATCACACAGATGCTACAAAAAGGTAAAAACACTCCAGGAAATGAAGAAACAATTCTGATTCAGATCAGGATTGGAATATTTTGTAGTAAATAGGGATAAAGGTGGGTGTGGAGGAATATGAAGACAGAATGAAGTATCATATAGCCACTTATTCAGAAATCACTAACCATCCTCTGCACTGACTGAGGCAGGAGTCCTGTAGAAAAAAATAGCATGGTATCACATAATTAAAAATGTTATCACAGTATGCAAGGGGACTAGCTAAAGATAACACAGTGTTATTCGGTTACCTAATTTTTTGAAAATTTCTTCAACTTATCATGAGTGTTTCCTATTTTTTCTCTTTAATAACATTTAAATACATCACCTAATCACTTCATATATCTTCGTTTTATTAAGTACAGCCAGTGGCATTGAGTGCACATAATGGTAATTTTAACCTCCTCTAGACATCTCCTAGATTTCAATGGCTTTTATGCTTCCTTTAAATACTAAAGAGATGGTTTTGGTTCATTTCATAAGTACAAATCTAGTTACACAAAACCAAATTATTAATGCTCCAGATCAGAGCAGATCCCTTCAGAGGCAACAAAACAATGCTGACTGCATTAGCCTCTCTCTCCTCTCAAAGCAGCCCCAAAAAACTAGCTGCTCTTGGCAAGGTTTACAAAGACCACTTGCTGCCTGTAGAGCAGAGAGAGCCCTCCTAAGAAGTGCAGCATTGTGTATGACAGCTTCAGCTCTGCAAAGCCAAACCTTTAGGACAAGGCTGACAGGCAGCAGTGGCATACCCAGTAGATGGATTCCAAGGGAATGACCCTTCCTCTTGGAGCAGGCCTGTGTTACAAACAATGAGTACCTGACAACACAAAAGTGTGTGATGAGTGTGGACTGCTGGAGGTGAGGACGCTGCTGGAGGAGAGCACATACTAACCGTGGCTCCAGGTGAGTCCTGCGAGTGCAGGGCCTGCACTCTGGAACTGTCAGGAATTGTCTGCGTGGAGCCATTGGGGCTGGTCTCACCGACGACGTGATCCCCAGAGTTATTGCTGAAGGGGAAGCACACAAAAGATAAAGCAATGCTTCTCACCACGGGGCAGCACAGTGAGCTTTGGGAAGTAGCTCACGAATAAGAACACAATGGGAAGAAGTAGCACAGCACAATGAAGTAACAGCACTTCTTTCCCCTACAATGATAAAAGCACAGGGCTGTAAAAATACTGTAACACATTTCTGTACTTCCTTCCTCACCAAGACAACTTGATAAAGCCAAAAGAATAAAAACCTCTCAATATCAAATTATTATGGTGTCTTCAGAAGTAGAGCTACAAGAAAGAGAATGGTATCTTTTCAACCTCCCTACGCCTATATAATGCCATTTAGCCTGCCTGACACAAACAGATTTATTTCCACAAACAGATTTATTGGCACAAAAGACGATTTGGGGCTTTTCCTTAGACATATGACAATCACAAGCTACTCCTTTCACAATTTTTGCTTTGTAAATCCTTGAGTATGTAAGCCTTATCTAACTGCCTGTTTATCTGGAAACCTCCCATAAAGCACCTACTTGAAATGCAACACAAAAGAGTACTAATATAATCATTAGACCAGAAAATAAAACTTTTGCTCTGGTCTAGGCAAAGCAGATATACAGCCATTACTAATTTCACATATTCTAAGGCAATTTATTGATCAGTTCCTTTGTGGATACACTAAACTGTCCACTACCTCCTTTTACAAATATGTTCTACTAGCTTTTCCATGGATATAAGCAGGTATTTTTGGACAAGGTTTACGATCAATAACCTACAAATACTCTCTTTCTCAGCTATAACACAACAAAAATTCAGTTTAACAAAAAAAAAAAGCAAAAAAAATTTTAAACACCCAGAAAAACACCACAGTGAAATATTGAAAAGCATGAGGTTGGGCTTTTCTATTTGTTCATGGGGGGTTTTTTTCACTAAAAACTTATATTTAAAGTTCTAAAATTCTACATAAGCAATAAAATTATTTATCTGGGGGGTCTCTTTCCACAATATTTTTTTTAGTTAACTGGCTTCAAAAACTTGTTCAACCAGCCTGCCAACTATCAAGGTCTGTTTAAAAAATTCTGTCATCCATCTAGTCAAAATAATATTAAGATCTTTATTTTCTGACCAAGTACTAATTAATGGATTACACACAAATCAACCTGGGAGGAACAGTTACATGATTTAATATGCAACTTTTAACTTATTCTACCTTTACTTCTCAGCCAAAATAGTCTGAAAGGCATAACCCCATCTAAAATAAAAATGTCATATGGTTAGCGACACACAGAGGCATTTTTTGGAAGAGTCTCGACCTTGACTGTCCCAGCAACATCACTGCCAGGAGTGTAGCACAGATGTGCATGTGTAAAGACACAGAAGAGCAATAGCACAGAGGAACACAAGCTATCTTGATGCTACTTAGCTGGCACAGAGCTAGCAGTAGCAACTGCAAATGCATCCAAAAAAATACCCTAAGTTCTTTTATACAGAGCTCTCTGTTGAAGCTTGACTGGTGGTTTTAACAAAGCTACTCAATTTAAGCTTGCTTTGGACATTTCTATACTATCACTTTTAGATGTACCTTATTTCAGCATTTTTCACATCTGTCATAACACTTGGTATCACTGAAAGCCACTTGCCAGCTTCATTTGTTTGTATGACTCAAGCTTGAAAAACCAGCAGGAACATTCTACCAATACACAAATCTGGAAAATGTCAGTACTAGTCTTCATCTCACTACTGTTTTTACCTCAATACCATCACAGCTAAGAAGCAGCCTTATTGATTACATGCAGCAAAGACTAACTGTACTTGGCTCCTCGGTAGAGAAGCTACAACTGCCTACCAAATGCCCCTGAGAAATAAAAGCAGTACTAGTTTTCCTCATGAACAGGACCACAGAAGCATCATAATTACCACAATAAAACATAAGGGGGAAAAGCAGCTTCTGCATGTAGGTGTGATATGAGAGAGAAGTCACTGAAAGCACACAAAGGCAACATGAGGTTGCCTTGACATCCAAAGCCATGATATTAAAGCATTTTCTTTACCAACAGGTGCCTGCCACTTCCTTGCCTCTTCCCAGCAGATAGGCAGAGTAGGAAGAGGAAGGAGCAGTTTTCCCCAGAAAACTTCTGCCACATTTTCTTCAGGGTCTGTTAGCACCTCCAGTGGATATCTCTACCATCTTCACAGTGCCCAGCTGCTGCCCGACCTCTGAACCAGGGGCAGCTCTGCCTACCGCACCACAAGAACATTTCAGCTACCCAGCTGAAAAGCACTAAGCAAGTTTTTGAAAGGGTCATTCTTTATACAGCTGTAAGGAGTAATCTTGCTTTCAACAGACATTTCTGCTGTGCAAGACCATGGTGCAAACTCACCCATTTTACATAATGTGCCAGCAATGCAAGGAAAACCTTACCTACAATTTGAGGACTCAGCCGCTTCTCCTTTTTGAACCTCTGTATCTTTACATTGCCTTCCATTTTTTCTTGAAAGCTTTTGTTGAATTACTTCGCCTTTGTCAAACATAAGGTGTAAACGGTAGCTGATCACCTTTATTACCGTGAAGAAAACTGTCACTGAGCTGCAGTACACAAAAACTGTCACTGCATTTGCTGGAAAAGCCTACAGAAAGAAATAATGAGGACACAATGATAACAGTTTGCTTTGAAAAAATGCTGCTAAAACTGTTTAATACAATATATGTATTGAGTTCTGCTCATAGAAAAGGTTTAACGGTTTCTTCAAGTTTCAAACCATTTCACAAGATCTATTTTTTTTATTACCTGTGGATATTATCTATTATCAAAATCAGCAAAATCTCACCATTGACAAACATTATAAAGCTTTTAAAAGTACTGCAGTCCCATGTTAATGCAGCCTTTCCTAACTATGAATTCATAAAAATACAGACACAAAATGAAACATTAGTTATCTACAAACACAAAATCTTTAGAAAAATTCTGTCATCTTACGCTATACATCAGTTATGACTCAATAGCAGAACACTGTCATTTAATGGCCATTTTCTAATGCCTCACAACATGTTCCCAAATACCTAAACCACTGAGGAATTTTAAATAATGAGTCAGGACTAGTCAAAACAAATGAAGAAAAACACAGTTAGAGAGGCATCCTGTCCAGGCTGATGTTCAAGGAGTGAGCGATTGGCTATATGGTGCTTAGTTGCCAGCTGGGGTTAAACTATGACACAACCTCTTTGAATTATTTTTCTAAAGTATTTAATTGTTAATTTGCAGCTGTCTGTGATCTGTTTGATGATCTGTGATGAGCACTGCAGCTCTTAGTCATTAAAATTAATTACAGTTCAACTATAGTCTGTAAAGTTCTTTCAAAGACATGACAGACTAACAACTTTTTTATATACAAATACTTCCTTACAGTACAGGGCAAATCATAGCAATGGACATTGTACTTATAATTGAAGTATCAAAGTCTTTACCATTATAGTCATGGAACATGCTTATGTATTTTCATTACACAGCTGCAGTCTCACAGTGAGTCTAATATCAAAGTTTCAGGGGTTTTATTTAAACAGAGATTTACTACATTCTCACACAAGAACAACAACAAAAAAATCCCAAGCAACACACAAAAACAAAAAAGGTTTCCAATACTCAGGACTTGCTAAAAGCCTGCTGAAGATAATTTTTAAGAACAGTCTTTACTTTGGGACTAAATCCATCATTTTTTCAAATTCATAAATAAATCACACCAACCACATAGATAAATGGGAGGGAACAAGGCATGCTTATTTCATCTTTAGAACAAGTCACCACATTTATCTTGATGTTGAAATTAATATGTTGAATCATTTCTGTGTTGTGACAAGAAGTGGGATGCAATTCTGATGCTGCTTTTGGCTCACTGGGACTTCATACCATCAAGATGAAAATTTTCAGGCGAATCCTTTTTTATGACTATTCTGATTCAGATACAAAGAATCTGTTGCACAATAGTGGAGGAGCTATTTAGGACATACATACTAGCAATGATCCCTAATAAGACAGACATGACTTTCTACAAGTTGAGGCTTAAGTCTGGTAAGAGTACTTCATGGTACTTACTGTGTAAATACCAACTCCCTGCATACCCTTCAGTTATTTAGTGAACTCGGGCCAGAGGTAGGATCCATTTGCAAGGTCATGTTCTCAGGGTATAAGGCTTAGTAGATGAGGTTGAAGAACTTGAGGTTAAAGAATTTGTGGTTTATGACTAATGTTTTTACAAAACAAGTAAGAAATTTCTTGGTTTCACAAAGAGCGACAGCCAATTATCTGTAATGACTGTTTAAGAGGGATTTGTTCACCTTCCAAGGAATCTCTTCAAGTATATACTAAAAGGCACAGATCAACCACTCATTATTAAATAACAACTCAGAATGGCCCACTAAGAAAAGAAGTGCTTTATAGGTGACATTCATAAAGCTTAATAAATATTATATGAATAATGTCAAGAGGACACAACAAAAATAGATTTCCAGTAGCACAGCCTATGCGTGCAGAGAGCATGCCACAAGAGAGACTCAAAGGAAGCTCCTAGATTTTTGAGTGGAAAACAGGGCCAGTTTTAGCAAATGCTGAGTGCAGCATGTGCTCATCCCTGCCTTGTGACCAGACCTACCGGAGCTGTGCCCTGAGCCAGCCCGTGGTCTCTGTGCCCATCTGTCCAAGACACGCTGTGTTTTAGTGCACTCACCACACCAAGACGGCCAATGGCATCTTGTGCATCTTTGATACTCTGAATCTTGGGGCAGGCTGAGTACTACAAGCCAGCAGGTTGCTCTCTGTCCACATGAGGAATTAGGAGAAAGATGATAATGGAAAGCCCTCCATTCTCTGAATCAGGCCTCTTGCATAAGATACTGGTGTCATATGACTGCAGTTGGTGTTCCCAGGGACAGACAGGTGAAAGCTATAAAATCCATGCTAAGAAGGAACTAAGCTACAGACCACTGAGGAATTAGATGATAGAGTCACTTTTGATGCACTATAGTTATAATTAGCCTGGTTTTCTATGAAAATGAGGTTTTATAATCACACCATGTGTCTGTGTATTCATCATCTCCCTCCATCCCCTCAGCTGAAAGGTAGCCAAAGGATTAAAAAGTTATTCAGCAAACTTTAAGAGAATACACCCCACTGGGCAAGGTCACAGCAGCACACCTCCTCCATTAATGAGAGGAGCCCACACAGCTCTCTGACCTTTTGATGCCACCCCAGTGACAGGAAAAGCTTCAATTGAGTTGACATCTTATTAAAAGCTATAGAAAAAAACCCCACAAATACAAATTCATTAGAAAGTAGGCTTCATGACTTCCCACAGGTTCCTATGGAAGCTGTAGCCCTGGTTTTCTTCATTCTTTCATCCCATTAAAAACTCTACCATAATGTACTTTTTGTTCTCCAGTAGCTTCTGTTGTTGTACCCTGCACCAGAACAGCGTGGGGTCACAGCCAGAAATGCAGGCTGGTGTGCCCCAAATGTGGCCCAGCTTACTGCTGCAAACGCAACAGGGTTGACATCACCACGTAAGGAGCACCTTTGCTTGGGGCTTCTGCCTGCCCCAAGAAATTGTTTTCAGAAGAACAGCCACATTCTCCATCACGTGTCTGCTGGCATCATTTGAGTAGCACAAAGGTGGAGGTGACTGAGATATGCACGTAAAGGTGTGTAACCTTTGAACAAAACACCACACCCTGTAAACTGGGCTGAATGATAAAGGGTGCTTAGACCCTGCTGCATCCCACCCACTGCTTGAGCCCCTGAGGCATCCAGAGCAAGGCAGTGCTGCACCTGAGCCTCACTGTCTCTAACACAGCTGAGGGAACTACCAAACAAATGTTCAGTCAGCCACTACCATCAGAGATATGTGTGGGAGATATGACAATGGGGCCAAAGATCCTTGTTTATCTGTTAATTAAGGTGAATCAATACTAAGAGATATCCATCACACAATATAAAATATGGGAAAGCAGGTAGCAAATAAAATTCCAGGGGTGTACATTGAGTTCTAAGTGTGCCCTACCACAAAATAAATACAGTACGTAACAGGGTAGCCTATCTCTGCTGCGGAGATACGCGTATCCTTAACTTTGACAGAGTGATAGAGTGGGGTAAAAGGCGGCCAAGTGGGACTGGAAGCAGCTGACACACTGCTAGTTTTATCACAATTTACCTCTGAGTAATTTATGTGCCCACACCCTTATACTGCCATGCTGCACTTCTCCTACCACAGCATGATTTGAAGATCTAGTGCGTGAGAAGTAACAACCCTGTAAGTTCAAGGGTTCCCTGTCCAACAAAAGGCAGGAGAAACACTCAGTGCATTGTTCTGGGGAGTCACCCAAACACAATGCACATTCTCTTGCAGCTTGTAAAATAAACTATAGTACAAGTATTTCACAAAGTTGCAGCTCTAGGTCTCTGGTGTTTTACTGGGGCTGAATACTAAAGAGCTATCACTATTTTCATGTGCAAAACACCCAGGAATCCTCAACTGTTTGATGGAATAAGACAACTTGAATTCTTATTATGAAAGTTGATATGGCACAGTTAGAACATCTCATTATAATTTTGAAAGTTGATTTGAACAGCAATGATGCTCCAAATAGCCAATGTACATTTTTAATGTTTAAATAATAAAGAAAATAAAGTAATGGAAACACAGAGCTACATTTTCAGGGGCAGGGAAAGCTAATAAAGGAATCCTTAGTACCAAAGTAAGCTATGCTGAATAAGCTAGAGAAAGAAATTCTCGATCCACACAACAGAAACAACTTGATACTTTAAGCTTCTCAATGCTACCGTCAGCACGCCTCTGCTGAGCCACTGTGAAAAAACTAAAAACAGATGGATGAGTTTTGCCATTTGATTCAAATCACACTGTTTCAGGGAGACTTCCTGACTTCAACAAAAGATTACCCCAAGCAAATGAAAAATTTAAAAAGTTGTACCCTGATCTGTTTACATTTTGCCATTTCAAGAAACATCACTAACTGCTTTAGCTGAATCCAAAATATTGGTGTCAGGTATGTAACATAAATATCACCCCAAACATTACTGAATAATATAAACAAAATTTCTTATAAACCAGAAAAAAACCTTTCTCTAAAAAGCAGGTTCAAGTTTCTAAGTGGCAAGAATAAATGTCTTGCATAAAGTTTACCAAGCCTTAGAAACAAGCCACTTGGAAACAAGAAAATGTGTAAGAACATAATTACTGTCAGGCAGCCATCATAATAAACACTTTATTCTTATCAAGGACAAAGAGTTCCCATAGGAATATGTTAGCTCAAGAACACAAGTCCTGCATTTAACCAGATGATTCATCAGGAGGTCAGTCAGTCTGCAGAAAAAGCAAGTCCATCTAGACAGGCAAAGATGATGCCCAAGAGAGTTCAGTAGGTAAGTTACATTTTCTTCCCTTTCAAAAATGACTTCTACCTTAGCTCTGACCTACAATCTAGTGTTCTTTTGTCAACCCCCACACCTTCTTCAGTTCAGAAGTTTTCCACAAGGAATCCTTCCAGATACATATGTATATCAACTGGGATAAAAAAGGTAGCCTTCAATTTTTTTTTTCCTTTTTAATCACACTTATGACTTGGACAGCAAATCCTACAATGTAAGACTCTTACTGGTTTGCATAGGAAACATGCAACCAATCAGAAGAAAGCATATTGTTATTTTCTGGTTCATTAACTCCACGAGCCACTCTTACAGGAATTCACTGCAATCCACAATGCCACAAATTCCAATACCAATTCACACTTAAAAATACAAGATTTGCTTTCCACTGGTATTGCAAGGGGATTCATAAATGCTCTTTGCTTTTGATAATCAGGCCCATATCTGACCATGTAGGGTGAAGAAACCTATTTAGAAGTTGAGAATTTAGTTGAGTCACTCCAGGAACCAAATGGATGGAAACTGCTTCTAACGGGAACAATATTACCCTGCAATCACTGAAGGACACACCAAAATAGATTCGATGATCCAGCATGCTTTAAGCTTCTCACACAGTAGGCAAGCACACAAAAACAAGAGCAAAAGTTTCAAGTTTTTCAGGAAAATAAATTTTAAAGTCCAGCAAACAAACTGTAGTCATTATTCACTTGCAAACTTGAATTTCAGCACAAAGCAAAAGCATGTCACAAAAAGCCATGTGATTCACCAGTGACATTCAGCAAGGCGTATTAATTACATGGTATCTGGATGCTTCCATTTATTTACCCTTCTCAGCAGGTAAGACTGGATCAAAATTTAAAAAAACAAAACCAAAACAACCTGTCTCCAAAAGAGATTTTTGAACAAACGTCCCACGGTCATTCAGCACTTGCACAGGCCAGCGCTGCACCCCTACCCAACTCCTCCGGCAGGGCTCAGGGTCCGGCCCCCGCCTAGCGCAGCCGGCGGACTCACCCCGATAACCTTTAGAGGCAAAACCCTCAGGTAAAGCCCAGAGTGCCCAATATTCCAGCCCCCCGGAGGGCAGTTCACAGCCGGCTGAGCGCACACGCCCTGGCCGCTGCCGCCCGCGGGCCGGGGCCCGCAGCTCCCACCCCGGCCCCCGCTGCCGCCCGCCCCGAGCCCCTCTCACCAGGTGCAGGGCCATGGGCAGCGTCAGCAGGAACAGCCACAGATAGAGGTGGCAGCTGTTGGTGAAGGCGCCCTGCTCCGGGTCGTGGTACCAGCCCCCGGTCAGCGCCGCCCACACGCCCTGCCCCACCAGCCGCGCCGCCGGCGACACCATGGCCGCCCCCCGCCGCCGCCACCGCCGCCCCTCAGCNGCGGAGCGGGGCCGGGCCGAGCGGCGGCGGAGGGGGCGCGGTTCTGGCGCGGGGGTGTCCGTCACGGCCGCGTCCCGCCCCGGGCACCGCGAGGTGCGCTCACAGGTGCTAAAGAAGCGCGGCGCAGCGGCAGCCCCGGCGGCCGCCAGCTGGGCTGCGCGCCTCGCCGGCCACTCCCCCACCGCCGGGATCTCACGGATCCTGCCCGATACATCACGAGTTTCCGATCTGCGAGCTCTGCCCAACTTTAGTGACACCCGTTTTGCGTTGACTTGAGATGTGTTTTGGGCGGGATGTGGGGATATTCCTCAAAAAAAAAAATTCGGTTTCTTTCAATAATGGGTTTAGGAAAAAGCCCAGTCTGCCCTAGTTGAAGAGTTTCACGCAGCTGACCTGAAACTAGCGGAGTGAGGAGGTGGGGGCAGGTTGGAGGAAGCACAGGTGAAGTGGGGGAGAGGGGGGCTGAAAAGGTGATGGAGATGAGTGGAAGCCTTGGGCAGGGGAGACTAAAGTCGGTGAAGAATGAGACATAAGGATACCAGGTATATTCTTATGGGACACCTCCGAAGGAAGGGGTACAAGGGTGGGTTGTGAACACCAGGACTGACTTCCCACGGTGCTCACCACCTCCCATCCCCGTCCATCAGAAAATAGTGATGAAATTCAATTTTAATGTCTCACCGGCCCCTTCTAGGGACTGTCCACGTGTATGGACGTTTATTACAGTCATTTTTGTGAAGGATGCATGTGTCAACTTGCACATCACCAAATTTACTCTACTTCAGTTGTTCCTGACCGTGGCTATAGTTTCACAAACCAAACATGCCATTCTGCTGTGCTTTGTATGGATTTTTTTTATTTTTTTTTACAAAGGTAAGAGACCACGTATGCTATTATAGCGTGAGCTCATGAACCACATATCTCAGCTTTCTTCCTGATGTCGCAGACAATGTGGCCATGCTGGATGCTGGTTTTGGCGTGGTGGGAAGGATGATACAGCACTGTGAACAGGAGGTCGGGAGCAGGGGAGGAATGGCATCGTCTCCCTCAGCAGCACTGCCACCATTAGATGCCTGAGGATCTACAGCCTTGGGGCTTGAATACTTGCTCAGTGTGACCTCGGAAAGTTTCCTGAGCTGTATGAAGGAGGCACAGTCCTGGCCGTGCCTCATGTGCTACTCCTGTAAACACATCTTGCCCAAACCTCTGCTTTATTGTAAACTTTTTTTTTATCCTTTGCAGGTTCTTTTCAAAGATTACACAGTTTATTAAACTAAATGTAACGATTGAATCAAGTGCAATATGCAGCTATGAATAATGTTGTTGATGTATGATAACTAAAAATGTTACGTTTCAGAAACTACTGAAATCATTTTCCCACAGGAAGACTAGCAAAAAATTTTGTTTACATGCACAGCTCCAAAATAGAAAGGTGGGTAAACTAAGGTACAAATAGAAAGCTTCTTCAAAACCTCCTCTCTTCTGTTTTTTGAGACCTCTAACTCATGTAGGTTAAAATGTGGAAGGCCTAATAATGCAGACCGCAATTGATATTAGGTTGACTTCTCCTGGTTTTGGCTGGGATAGCGTCAACTTTCTTCTCAGTAGCTGGTACAGTGCTGTGTTTTGGATTCCATATGAGAATACTGTTAGTAACACAGTGATATTTTAGTTGCTGCTATGTCATGTTTGTCTTAAATCTTTTTGTGTCTCGTGTCCTGCCAGTGAGGTGGTACAAAAAAGAAAAACTGGGAGGGAGCATAGACAGGGCAGGTATCTGAAACTGCCCAAAGGGATATTCTAGACCATCCTGCTCAGTATATCAAGTTGGGGGAAGAAGGAGGAGGAGGGGGACATTTGTAGTGATGGTGTCTTAGTTACATGTCTTCCCAAGTAACTGCTACATGTGATGGGGCCCTGATCTCCTGGAGGTGGCTGAACACCTGCCTGCCCATGGAAAGTGGTAAATTAATTCATTGTTTCACTTTGCTTGTGAGCGTGGCTTTCCTTTCCCTATTAAACTGTCTTATCTCAACCCACAAGTTTTCTCATTTTTACTCTTCTGATTCTCTCCTCCATCCTACCGGTGGGGGGGTGAGTGAGTGCCTGCGTGGGGCTTGGCTGCTGACTGGGGGTAAACCATGACACTTGTCCATAGATCACTCAAATCTTTCAACTCTTCCTCATCTTTGGATAATGCTGACAACAAGTATTTTTTTGGTATAAGGATACTTGCAGTTATGAAGGGCTCCTGTATTTCCAGGTCAGGATATGTGTTCTGGACACAACGTAGATGCACAACACTATTGTAGCTACACAGCTGCAGGAGTGCCAAAGATGAAAAAAAGGGACCTCTTTTCTCAACAGAGATGCCAGTGAGGGTCTGCGCCGTCTGTACGCTGCTCTTTTAACCGGTAACTCCACTAGGTGGAGCCGTCAGGAAAGTTAAGGGCACTTGACACTGTTTTGGGTCACAATATTTCCATTATTTGAACCCCTAAGAACAGCAACTATACACCGAGATCCTGGAGCGCTGGGTGCTGAGGAAACGCTGAGCAAAGTCTAACCTGAGTGCCGTGATTGCTAGTGGATAGTGGCACTTCAGAAAGCAAATTTTGGAATAATAGCTCTAGATAAATATTTAAACATTTCATTGTACTGCAACCAATACCTTGTCTGACCCAAAACATTCCACACTTAATTAGTTCCTGCAGATGCTTTTAGATAACAAAGTACAAGGTGGAATTTGTGTGGCAGAACGCTTGTATTACAACATACTTTATGGCTTTTATAATAAGGCAAATATGCAGATAAGGGAAAGGTTTGTAATTACCTCTCTGAATAGCTGCAAGGCAATGTTATATTAAAGGAAATGGGAGAAGACTTGATAGACATGCTGGTTCTGCATTCTTTCCTTTTGGTTAATGTGGTTCAGTAAGTCACTTTAGTATAATTGTATTTTTGTGTTGTGTATAACTATAGTTATATAGTGAAGTAAAAAAAAAATTTATGATTCTTGAATACTGTAATTTTAATTTTTTTTAGTTACTGTCTTTACGTTCAAACCTTAGTTCTGTAGTATCCAGCTGCCAATTTTGTGTTTATATAGAGATGTACAGTGTTCTGAATGTAGGGTTTTGTGCAAAACATTGAGTGTTCATTGCACCAGGTTATTCAACCCAGCAGTGCAGTTTTACACCTTCCCTGAGCCTTTACTGTCCTCCTCAGGGCCTCTGCTGGCAGCAGCCACATCCATAACCACAGGTCCCACAGCACAGTGATTGGCTCCTGGCACAAAAACTCATTTCCTTCCACTTTTAACCACTGTTTCCCACCACCCTGGCGAGACGGGAGGGCGTCCCCAGCCCACACACTTCCCTCCAACTTCCAAGGAAACTACAACTGTAGTTTAGAAAGTGATACGATTTTTCCACTTAGAACCAGGAGAACCTTTACCCATAAATAGTACATACACAGCATTTGCTATTTTCAGGCAACCTTTTAATTGAAAGGATTGTGTGATGGCACCACAAAGGGCTGGGACTCTCTCAGCCCGTGCATGGACAGGGTGGTGGGCAGGGGACAGTTGGAGTGGGTCCAGAGGAGGGCAACAAAGATAATTAAGGGCCTGGAGGATCTCTCACCAGGAGCTGAGGGAGCTGGGCCTCTTTAGCCTCGAGAAGAGACGACCGAGATGGACCTCATCAATGTCTGTCAGTATCTCAAGGGAGGGTGCCAAGAGCCAGGCTCTTCTCAGTGGGGCTGAGCAATAGGACAAGAGGCAACAGGCAGAAACTGATGCACAGGTAATTCCATCTGAATACGAGGAAGAAATGCTTTACTGTGAGGCTGACTGAACACTGGAACAGATTGTCCAGAGAGGTCGTGGAATCTCCCTCACTGGAGATGTTCAGGAACCACCTGACCTCAATCCTGCGCCATGTGCTCTAGGATAACGCTGCCTGAGCAGGGAGCTTGGAGCAGATTCCAACCTGACCTATTCTGCGAGAGCCCACGAGCAGCGGAGGCAGTGGCAGAGCAAGCACGAACCGCGGGAGCTCGGTTTCTTCAGAACCCGCCTGGGGTTTGTTCCAAACGAGCCCCAGTGCCGCACAAGGAGGGAGAGGGCGAGCTGCGGCGGAGGCACAAGCGCTCAGCGCGGCCCGCAGCCCCGGGGGTGCCGCAGCTCCGTCCGCCGCTCCGCGGGGCCGCACCGACCGCTCTGCCGCCGCGCCACGTGACGGCGGGCGGCCAATGGGCGGGCGCGGGC